AGAAAGAGCAAGAGACACAGCGACAGCAGTGTATGGCTTTGCAGAAGCAGACAGCTCCTTTATCAGCAGGTGAAACTCTTTTTGTTCTTGACACCTTTGGACCTAATATTTTCTTTTTATTATTCTAGTTTCAAGTGAGAAGACCACAAAATCATCCTCATTGCTTGATGAATCCGACTCGTATTGTGAATTTAGCAATGAATAGAATAATAAAGCGTATTGCATTCAGTGTTCAAGGTTTGTATACTCAATGATTTTTATTGGATGATGAATAAAAGAAACACATATGATAACTACATAGTTGGAGTGCAAAAGTAGAGAGCCTTTCATTGGTTTATGAAATTCCAGCAACCAAAGCTTTGGAAATCTAATACAGAATTATGGTGGGCTTAATCTTTCTGATGCCCTGGCACAGTGCAAAATTAGGTCTTGCATTTCAGGTCTGCATTACATGCAATAGTATATGCTTATGAGAGGCAACAATAAACGTGACGTTCTACTGGTTTCAGCTTTGGTTGTTCAATTAGTTACACCTGTCCACAACATGAATCTATCAGAACTTCTGGCCTGGTGCATGATCAGTCAAAATCAAAATGTATGAGAGTTTCCTGTAGTGTGTACTGTGTTGTGACTGACACATGATAAACGCTGACGTGTTTCACAGCCAAGGGGATAAACATAAATATTGTTAACAATATTGGGCAGATTGAGAGACAAAGCAGGTATGAAAAACATGTTTTGAACATTAAAAGGATGATTATCTCTCCTAAGTTGAACATTTTCCCTCCTTGGAAACCTCTAGTACAGTAAAAACATGATCTAAAACACATGGGGATCGATGGGAAAATAAGCATTCTTTTGTTCTTTGCTGTAATATCTTTTTGCCGATACATGGTTTTTGTCAGACAACAGAAATGTGGTCATATGTTTCTGCTTCAAGGCTGTTCAGATGCTTTGCTTTCCTGTTCCTGTTTGCCTGGTGCATGGGAGTGTGTGTGTGTGTGTGTATGTGTGTGTGAGCACATGTCTGCAGGGCAGCTGTGTCCCCGTTATGTGGGGACCTGACCCAGCTGTCACTAACCATACTGTGGAAGGTCTCTCTGAAAGCATGGAAATAAAATGTACGTTCATCTCTCAGCATGAGCTGGCAGGGAATTGTCAGTAGTTAATATAAACAAATGAGTCTCTGCTGAGGACATCTCAAACTTAATTTCTCACATTATATCGGGGACTTTAATTGAGCTGGGCTGGGAGAAGCAACAAACTTGACTTAGGCTTCTTTTTACATACAAAATGCAAAGCAATGAGGCTGGTTGAAAAAACATTGCTGTACATAGACGGTCAAAGATCACTGGCTACCTGTTCAGTAACATGTAAATGCAACAAGTTCTCATTGCATGTTGTCAAATACCGACGCCATTTTGTAGAGTACAGAAACACAATGCACTTTTTAGCATGTGTGTGACACACCTTTTTAACATGTGGTTAACGTTATAAAATGGATTCATTAGGTTTACAGAAATACTTGATTGGGTTTAAGAAAAAAAATAATTAGTTTAACATGGGACACACAAACTGGTCTCCTGTCTGAAAGTCCTGATGCAGATGGGTTGTATTGGAGTTAGATGACACCTTGTGCGGCTTTACGGAGATGCCGAGGGGTGTGACAAAATGTCAGTATTTGATGCCCTGGAAATCAGAATGGGCTAGTAAATGGATAGTAATAAGACTGTCAACCATGTTCTGTGTTATGAAAAGAATTGACCTGTCATTAGAGGTTGAGGGATGAAATGTGACGTACTGTGGTGGTACTGGTTCACTGTTGCTACACATGCTGTTGTAATTACTGTGCAGTGATTGACCCGGTGTTTTTTGAAGTCAGGTCACAAAATCTGTTTGCCTAATATTAGGCATAAACAAATCAACCTTAGTGCTTGTCACACTATAGTCAGTTTTATATATACTTCATGTTGCAGAACACTGCATGAATTGTGTATCTTGTATCTTTTTCCCTGGTTGTCCACAGTGCACACAGTTCTCTGGGGTTAAATATAATGTGGACGAGCCCTTTAAAGCAAATGCGATCTGAAAGGCTGGCAAAGGCGAGGGGACGCAGCTGTCGGCGAAGCATGTCTTTTTTAAGGGCTGCCCCTAATGATTGGAGACAGTTGGCAATTACGTAAGTATTCACTTTTAGGCCACTGGGCTGTACACTGTGCCGAGCCCCCCGGACCCTGGCACACATGCAAAATGGGAAGAAGAAGAGGAGGAGGAGGAGGAGGAAGGTGGGGGTGGGTGAACAACAGCGAGAACCGAAGAGTGGGGGAGCTGGCCAAGAACCAACAGGGGAACAGCGATGCACGTGCCAACATAGAGAGAGTAACATATACAGATGGACAGAAAGAGAGGGGGATGGAGGAATGGGAGGAAGGAAAAGAGAAGTGAGCAAGAACAAAGAAAGAGTAATCACAGATAAAGAGCCTGACAAGAAGAGGGGGGGATGAAAGATGCAGAAAAAGGAAATCAGAAAAAGAATGGTGCAGAGAAGCAAACTGCATCCTGCAACATTTCATGTATAGTGACATGCGGGTGGTAACAGTTTGAAATCAGCTAAAGAGCATACATTTCACAGTACAACATTGTACTGTGTTAAATAATTCACATTCTTTCTCTGTAAACTATTTTGAACATCAAGATATTTAGGCCTTATTTTTACAAAACGCTAGAAAAAAAGAGCAGCTATTGATGACAGCAGATGTCGCTGCAATTTTTATTCCGTTGCTATATTTACACAAGTGTCAACTTATGAGCAGGGTGTTGTATAACTATCAGCAACTATTTTTTCAATGTCAAAATACTTGCTGTGTAAAGTGAAGCAGAGAAGACAGCAACTCAAAAGGAGAAAACTAGGCTTTCGCAGGCTGCATACAGTAGGACTGCTAGATTTCTACTAATTTGTAATGTGGCAGTAAATGAAATACAAAGTACACAAAACACACTAAATCACCTCATCAGGCATTGTTTAGTGCCGTATTAGCAACATGTCTGCTATTACAATGTTTTGGTGTTTCCTCCTAGCCAAGAGCATATGTTTGGCCCCACCACCTGTTTCTCATTCAAACCTGGGAGGTTAACAGCTGCCTGGGAAGAAGATTGATGCACGCTCACACACACACACACACACACACACATTGCATTATTCATCAAGTAAGTGGGGATTCTGACTATCCACAGCGTGACCATCAGAATGATATTTATTTGCTACAATTTGTCTCAAGTGTAGCAGCAAATGCAGGGAGATTATTTGGAGGCGCAGCATTCCTCACACAAAGTATTACACAGTATTATTGAAATCACAGTTGGTCACAAAGCATCTAATTGCTTTTTCATTTGCTCTGTTATTGATTGTGTTGACCGGCTCACACACTCGTAACAGTCTCTCAGTAGCACTTGTTGATGGTGTGTGCCGACATGCAGAGCAATGCGTGTGCGTGTGTCTGTGTGGCTGAGTTTGTGCGAGGCAAAGGTGCCGAGAAGCGTGTGCATCAGCAGGGGTATGCATGTTTTAACTGCTATCTCGGCCAGTGGATATTGAGTGTGGTCTTCAACACCAGAACCGCTGATGGCCTTTGCTTTATTAGCAGACTTGTCAGTGGTGCTTGGAGTGGCGTCCCACGGAGCCCACTCATCTGTTGTCAAATATTTATAAATGTCACGGAACTAAGGCCTGCAAATGATGCCAACATATTCTGTGAGGGTCCCAGCTATAATGAGCCAGTTGGTTTATTGAAACCCTTTAGGGTGAGTGTGGCTAGGAAAAAGATTTTCAACCTACCTTGACCTTTGGTGCACATTGTCTTGTTCTGCAAAAGTAAATTCTCTGCAATTAAAATGAAAATGAACTGATTTTGTTCATTAGAACCTATTCTGTTAACTAATTGCTGGCATTTTATTTAAATTTAATTTGCACATGCATTTCCTCACTTTCAACTTTTTTTAATCTCATTTGCCACATAACCATGCATATTGACAACAAGCTCATACTGTATGAATATCTGGCCAAATGGAGAATATGATGAATGTATCCTGATGATTCCTCCTTCCTTCTTTGTATATATTAAGGAACTTTTTTGAGGAAAGATGTAGATGCCATTATGTGTATGTAATAAGCAACCTTTTACTTTTACTTATGTAAATTTATAAAGCATCAGTTTTGCTTTGAATCAAGTGAAAGTTCAACAAAGCTCAACTTGGGTAGTATATTTTATGTGCACTGGCAAACATTGTTTAACATATATCATGTTAATTCGGTGTCACTGTGAGCTTGCATTGTTTTTATTATGAGCTTTCTTCCGTGCAGTATGAGCAACTGAACCCAGCTTATTCTATTACAATCACCATTTGCAATAAGAGGTGCCAGTGGTGACTGGTATTCACTTGCACGCTTTGTTTGTCTGTTTAAAACACTGTCTCAGTTAGGAAGCTGCAACAAAGGAGCTGTGTTTATTCCCTCAGACAGTCCTTGTCACATTCTGTTTATTTGAGCAGAAAGATTATCTTAATAGATTAAGTCTACGTCAAGAGAGAAAAGACTATGCAGAGTGTTTGCAATTTGATGCTGGTCTTGGTCATGAATTGCTCTTTTCGCATTTTTCATGGACTTTTACCATGACTATCCAAGTTGAATCTTTGTTGGACCCTTTGTTAATATGCAGACACCATTGAACATTGAAGTGAACTGTTTTGGTTTTTGGTTCATAGATATATACGTCCGCATATACATTTCTAAGCAATACCACGGCATACATTTAAAGAGCCTCACATCAATTTACAATCAAAGATCATGTGTAATCATAAATCATAATATTTGTACTCCTAATGGGCCCCTGCAACGAAAGCCTCCATCCATCATAGGCAAACAATGCAAGAGAGCAGCAATCAAACAGACAGCTGCTTTAAAGCCTGCAGACCTCATTTGCATATTTTACTTCCTGCATCCTCTGTACTCTGTGACACGCCGGCAAGTTTGTCTCCTGTCTCATCACTCGTAAATTCCAAACGGATTACCCCCTGTCTCTGACATGTTGGTAAGAAACAGCTTCGATTTCCAAAAAATTAAATAAATAATAACTTGCGGGGCGGCTTGTCAAGCTGCGATTGCTAATCTATGAGGGAGGATTTGAATAAGTCCTCGGTGGCTCTGCGCTCTCTCTCCTCTACTCAATCTCTCTCTCATCCCTCGCTCGGCGGCCGACTCAGAAGGAGGGCCCCTCTTCGAGAGCCCATCGTGCTAAGTGAGATTAATTTCGACATCATAAATAACTCGGAGCAGGTCGCCGCAGGGAGCACGGAGACTGTTCCGTGTTAGAGAAACAAATGTATTTGACTGTGGTTTACCATTTCAATCCATGCTCTTAATCCTGTCTTTGTTTTAGCAAAGCTCTAAAAAGCCAAGATGGGACCTATCACAATGACATGCTGCTTTGTCTCCAGTTTGCTCATCTAAATGGGTTCTTCAGAAACGACTGATGGTGTTTAATGAATGGAGAGCTCATATAACCTGTCCGCCATTTTGACAATTACCATTATCTTCGCATGTGGCATAATTCAAAGACATGTCGTCCAATAGAGACACACTGTCACTGACAGGTGGCAGATGAATCTGTCAAATAGCTTGTAAAAATACAGCTTTGTCTCTCAGCCTTTGTATATACAGTTATGAGGACAGTCGAGCTCCGAACATTTAAATGCGAATCCAAATGATTTAGACTAACCTCATTATTCATAATCCAGCAATGGTAGAGGCTTCTAATTTTTCACGTTACTGTAATAGTTTGTAATAAATTTCATGACAATGATTTTACTAGACTTGAAGCACGGTGCTTAACGGTTTTAATCTGTTACAGGATACGAATTCAGATGGTTCTTTATATTGTGTCATGTGCAGTAGAAGGAAACCAGACCAAAAGGTGTTTTCTTCACATTGTTCAAGTGTATAAATTCAAAGTTGCATCAAGCCTTTTTTTCTCACAGTTTTATGGCACTACTGAGATAGACAAACAAATCCAGCAATAGCTGAGCATCACCTGTCCAAGTGAAACATTCACTCACTTTGTAACTCCGGTACCTGGGCTTTATATTTTAAGATGCTCGACTTTCTTTAAAAGACACTCTTCTATTTGGGCTTGTTGACATTTTGTGGTAGGTAGCATAAAATCAGATTGTCTGAGCATACTGATTCAATCATTATAACAGCCTTGATATAGTTAATGTAATGTCATTTGGAACATGTCAGTTTCTTGAGACTTGACCCCAGCCAACCCCAAGCCAAGATTTGTTACATAACAAAAATAGACGCTCTGAACACTTGTGTAGAACCAATTCTTTCCACAGATGTCACCATGAATTTAAATATACAAAACATTGTATATTTTCCCCAACAAGCCTTTGCTAGAATGCACCTATATTTATACGTGAGTGCAACTATTGTGCTTTGTACACCCCCCCTCCCGAACTCCAAACACACACTTCACCATAAAAACCAGCCCTACAACACAAGTAAACACAGTCACATTCATTACATCAGATTTCAGAATACATGAATACATTATTTGCCTCACAGAAAAGCTCAACAAACAAAATGCAAAAAAAAATAAAAAATCGGCCTACGACCAATGCAATCTAAACAGGATTGACCTTAACTCAAACAACCCTCCCCGGTTCCCTGCTGCAGCTGAATTTGCGTGCCTTGGTCTCCATTTATTTGAGGGTGTCAGGGCCTGTTCCGCCTTGTTTACTGTTAAGAGGATGAAAATGAACAGCCAAATAGTGCTCCATTTATAAGCCTGTTTATACATGCTAATACCGGAGGCTGTTTTGCACCCACAGCAGCACTGCTGGATGTGACTCAATCAACACAACGGTGCCCCCCACACACACGTCTTCATAACCAAGTATGAAAGTACATTTAAAGGCACAGTATAATGTTGATAGTGGCCGTGACTGACAAAATGGCTCCTTGGCATTGAAGTGGAAAGCAGCTGCATCGACCCTTTATTTGAAGACTTAAGGAATTGATGTACTTTGTATTTCATTTATGTGGCCAATTCAATACTTGTGCTGAAGAACAACTCTCTCCCATAGCCAGCAACTCACAAGTACTGAATGTCACTCCATCTTAAGACATTTAATCTGCTGCAGCAGCTTCAGAGAAGGCATATTTCTCAAATGGAAATTTAGGCTGATATAAGAGGAGTGTTTTGTGCTTTGCTGGCTTTCATGAAGGTGAGCTTATTACACAACCCTACTTATGTCAAATGGTATCTCCTCTACAAATTTTCATTATATTAGCATTCACAATGTTGCAGCATTTAAACAAAAACACTGTGGAACCAACTGTAAACCTAAGTACTATGTATTAGTAAGTCGATATATAGAATAAGAAATTAAGCCCTCATATACTTTTATTTCCAGCTTTCTTCTCTGGACCACACCAGCTTTGGCATGAGTGGCCTTTAATCCAGAAAAGAAAAAAACCCTTCAGCAGACTATGTTTGAAATCATCCTTAGAGGGACTGATCTCAATTAAAAATGAAGGCTTGTTTTGACAAGAGTGTTCAGTCCTGGCAATAAAAAATAACTGAGAAGTGTGGTGGTGCCCTGAAAATATTGCTGTGGTGCTGGACTGGTCATATTCGGGGGAGGTACAAGGAAAGATATTTCTCTGCTGTAAATTGGGTGGTACATTAAACTCTTAGGCCTGGTTTTGAACTCTTACCGACAATATTACCCATATTATCATTGGAAGCGGGAAAACATGGAATTCAAACAGAATAAGAAACTGTTTGTTACCAGAATATTGTAATGATATTTAGGTCCTGGTTTGACAAGTTGCAGCAATGGACGACTATGGATACTGCTTAAGCTTTCATTGTTGGTGCAAACTGTTTCTATTAAAAAGTATTCAGTGTCAGAAACTTTGGTGTATATTGGCGAGATCCAGATGGCACTATCTTAAGGCATGGGAATATATCTGCATATTTCAGAGATGAAGTGTTGTATAATCACCCTAGAATTTGGTCAAATTGAATCTCTTCTTGGCCAGTCAAACACCATCTGACATTATTGACATGGACAGCGCTGATGTGTCCGTTAGGTGCTTTGGGTGTCTGTGATGTCTGAGTGGGAAAAACTCCCTGCTCCTCCTCCTTTGCTCTCATTCCCCGGGACACGTATAGAGAATATTCAACACCTCTTGACAAGAAGAACACAAGTAAAGGGGACGACAAAGTCAATGTTCCTACACCTGCACTGAATCCCCTCCAGGAGATCTCCACACTTTGGTGACAAAGAGATGACAGAATGGCTTATGCAAACACTTGCCTTTGCAGTAGACCTCCTGCATTGCCTGAATTATTTACTAGGGCTTGTGTTGAAATTTTTTGGCAGGATAGATTATTTCCAGGTCCTATTAAAAACCTGATTGTGACAATTTAAGTGCCAACTGGCACGAGAGAAAGAAATTAGGCCATTTTTGAGGAGGAGACAATGAATTAGTAAATTGCTGTTGGGGCTGATAGGAATTTTGGCTAAAAAATACAAAAATAAGACTTGCTGTTGAAAACTAAATGTATCTTTTCCGAGCAGGACTCTTCTAAATCTATGTGCCACAACTTAACATTGTGGTCTCGCAAGATACAAAAAAAGTGAATGAAAACAACCTTCAAAATTAGGTAATTGTGTACAATACAGATTATATTACAGAGTTTTGATTTCAAAGACATTTCCACAGGATGCCTTGGAATTGTATTGTTAAAAAATGGTGAGTTTAAAATCCATCCATCCATCCATCCAAAATCAGTCTATTTGCATGGGAAGTGAATTGGTGAAGGGGAAACTAAAAGGTAAAATTACAATGTGTCTACAGTAATTAACAATTGGGAATATGACATGGCGCAGAGAGGCCAGTTAGCTTATTTTATAGCTATGGTGAGTTTAAAACATGCATTCATACATTAACCCTACATTTTACCACATCATATTACTATCAAACATGCACATGAATCACATTACTGTCAAACATGGATCACATAACTGTCAAACATGAATAAATACAAACTCACAAGTAGTGAATGCAATAACATGAAATGATTTATTGCGGAACCAGGTGAAGTAATACCTGGGATTTTATAGTTTAGTTTACCATACCATAAGGTTTGAATTAATTTGTAATACTTAAAACATTGTTTCTCGCTCCATACTCATTTATTAATTCACTATTGTCACTGGCGGAATCAGTAGCTTTTAGCAGTGGAGCTCTAATTCTGCTCTGATTCACAGTACGTCACCTCATTAAAAACGTATTAAAAGACCTCGACAGCCACATTTGAATGGTCACGTGAGTTAGGTTAGGGAGAAAAGTGAACAAATTACATAATCAGAGACTATGAATGTAATATTTGGGCAAATGTGAAAAAGTGTAAGCAGTAGATAGTGAGTGTCGATCTTAGAGATCTTAGGTTAGAGTTAAAATACAGTTAGATGACAGGGGAGGTTAGAATAAAGAAAGAAAGAAAGAAAGAAAGGGTCCATTATTACTTGGATTAATGTAAAGCTGGTTAGTGAATATACAGCAAATACAATACTTTGAAGATAGTTGAATATCAATATGGGACTATGTCACAAGGGTTGGGCTTCAATCTACACTGCAATTTTTTAGGCAAAAATATGAATACCATTAAAAGTGACAGTGAGTAATTTTCTTGGCTAAAGTTCTGGAAACACTAGTGTGATAAGTCAAAAAAGAAATTTCATCCTGATTTTACTTGAGCTATTAACTGTATTTTGCCTGTTTTTCATGCACCAGTAAAGTCTGAGTCATATTTGCTTGCAGTCATTATTGTGCTTGAAAAATCGGAATTTAAGGTAATAAAAAACTTTCTCTCCTGAGGGGAGGTAACATTCGATATAATATGGCTTCATACTTTTTACCTCCATCAAACATATTCCCTCCACCAATTCTGCAGTGTACAGATTTAAAAGTAGGACATCGTATTCCCTTCACATGAATGAATTCTGTCTCATAATGTTTCACACACTTCTAAGCAGCACAGTGCTCCAAACAAAACAGCTTGTCTAAATTGAGAGTAAATGTGGATGGATGGATGAAGCCAAATCTACGATACCTCAAAAGCATGCGTGTTGTCATTCTTTTTGTCATCCATCTTGATTTGCTGCCGTCTTTCATTCGTACACAGTCACTGCATTCTACTGCTGATTGTGAGCGCTGCTACTGTCCCTCTGGGAAACAGTCAGACAGACAGGGAGGAAGATAGACAGACAGACAGACAGACAGAGAGTTGAAGGAGAAATGGCCCAGCAGCCGCCCACTGCACACATACAGATTTATTATTTGTGCAGTCACTCAGGACATTTCACAGCTGTGTTTACCTTGGACCCTGCCGTGAGTATTAGGTGGCAGGGCCCCGGATTGCAGATGTGATTACCCATTCACAGATCCACCACCTTGCCATCCGCAGACCCCCCACCTCATTTTTTAATATGTCCTCTGACACTATTAATCAAAAAAAAATCCCAATAGGCATTTTCCTCAAGACCATAATTCATAGCACGATTCAAACTCAAAGATTTATTTAAGGGGGATTTAGCAATAATGTCATGACAGTTCCCCAATTAGGTCGTCTCAGGGTGAAGTCATCACTAGCGGCCTCAGCTTACCGTAACTCTGGGAACACTTCCAGCATTTCTCTGGATGGAAAGATTGACAGAGTTTGGAGTTTATGTACAGCCCTGCTGGTATTGGATAGACTGGCTTTGTCTACTCAGTCTGGCCTATACATTCAAAGTGCCATATATAGGAATTAGGAACCATACCGTACCAACCACACTAATCTCTAGGCTTTTGGAACCAGGCGTGAGGGACCCTTTAGCTCTGCTTGATTTTAGCAGTGTTTTGGAAGCAGTGAGGGAGTCGGGGTGAAAAAATCTTGATCTGCATCAACGTTCCTGGGCAAGTACATCTTTTTTTTTTTCAGAAATGAGCTGCTTCACACTATGTGTACCACACCTTTTCACCTAGGAAATGCTCTGTACAATCACAGTCAGCCACTGACAAATGCCAGCCATTTGATAGTCATCATCTTTATCAGCTCAAAACAAATATCATATTTGTAAAACTATCTGCCTCCTTTTTTTCTTGCTGATTGTTTCGCATTCCATCTCCCCTTCCCCACCTCACTTTTAGATTGTCTATTACTTGATTTGAAATGCAAACACATAATGCTGCAGTTTTTGAAAGCCGATCATTAATAAGAAAATCTCAGTGGAACTACCAGCACAAATACAAAAGATTAGTGCTGTCAGTTAAACGCGTTATTAACGGCGTTAACACAAACCCATTTTAACGGCGTAAATTTTTTTATCGCGAGATTAACGTTCTTTTTGGCCTAGCACGCTTTGTAGTTTTTTTCACACGCTGTTGCAACAACTAGTAACGTTAGAAAAACTACAACACCACACCGGATCTAGCTAGACCGGAAACAAAACAACAGGCACGCCGCAAACACTTTTTTAGTAGTAGACGTTATGTTTTGAGTGGATGGCGAGCATGACACGCCGAAATTGATGCCAATAATATTCTGAATGGAAAGTTTACTTTTCAAAAGTTGCCAAATGGTTCCATTGACAAGTCCAAAGTGATCTGTGTGTTTTGTCGTTGTGAACTGAGCTATCATCGCAGCATGTCCAGTCTGAAATACCACTTGATGGCCAAGCACACAGCTGATGCGAATTCTCCGCCCCCTCGTCAAAGCCAGGCGACAATGGATGATTTTTCAATAAAAACAACATTTGCACAAAGCAAGCCGATCCACTTTTCCATGTTGATAAGAGCATTAAAATGAGAAAAAATAATGGCACAAAAAGAAATCAAGAATAGATAAAAATGTGCGATTAATTGCGCGTTAACTATGACATTAATGCGATTAATCACAATTAAATATTTTAATTGTTTGACAGCACTACAAATAATTACACACAAAAACACTTTGTCAGTCTACTTTTTTTGATTGACTCCTTCTTCTTTCTCTCATTTGTCTCCAAAAACCGATGTCTTTAACCTGTGGAAAGGACTCGGACTAACCCAAACTGATGAATGTAAAATGAATGAAATAGTTAAATAAGGAAGCATCATGCCTACCCTTCTAATGCTCTCTGTCATTCTTGCATTATAAAACCCACTCCATAATGATCCAATTTTGTGCACTCACTCACTGAAATAATCTGTGCTGAAAGCAAATAGCCTGGAACTGGTGATTGCCTTTGCCAGACATTTTCTCATTAAACTCCCAGTGTATCAGGCAATTACCAATTCACATACATAGCATTTGAGGGTAAGGGATAAAGAGAGAGCACGAGTGAGACGGACAAAGAAGAGGCCAGTTGCGACTGCGCACAACCATAAATTCACACTCTCGTCTAACCCTTAGTCCACCCTGTTTATACTTATGCACTTTAGTCTGTGCCATATCCGACAGATAGTGATCCCATATGTCTATTATCTCCTGGCTAGCCCCATCCTGTGTAGGTCAACTCTAGATTTACAGCGAGCTAAAACCATTCCTGACATACCACCACCACAGAAAGGGCCATAAAATGTAACAGCAAATGCCGTGCCCCCAAAACTAAAGGGCTTAAATAATTTTATCATACAGTAGAAAAAAAACAACAAACATCTGGTTCAGGTCTTGTACTGAAGGCACTGAGGTGTTCTGCTCAAGGCCTAAACTGGGTGGGGTGGAGAGGACCGAGCTTCTATCCGATCAAGACATATGTTGCAGGATGTTGCCCGTCTCATTACGGTTCACATGTTTTATTCTCGCTCGGCTGCTTGTTAACTATGTAAATTATGTGTCAGTTCACATGCACAGGCACAAGAAGCACATATGGATTCACTTTTACATGTTAATGAGGTCACATTATAATGAAGCTTTTATGGATAAAATATCCGGTTCATTAGGACTTCTCTGGCAGGTTAAAATGTAGGGATTTTGAAGTGGCATAGATGCAGGTGAGAGTTTAATTTACATATTAAAAACTGTATTCAAAGTGTAATGTAAAGCTTATGGTGTCACAAAATGTACCACTGCAGAGAGTGCGGAGCATGGTCTGTAGGTACAGTAGGTCATGTGTGATGGAATACGCATGCATGCACACATGCTCACACATATGGAATGCCCATCCACAGGCATGCATAAACACTAATTCAGACGCATGAATGCACTGGCATGTACAAACACACTTTTAACTAATTACAGTTGCTGTCAATTACAGTGGGGTTGATAGCCATGCAAAGTTTATATAAAGTCATATCGCTGAATTTGTTTAGGTTACAGATGGTTAAAGAAACATGCAGCCTCTCTCATCAGTGCCACAAAAGTCCAGTATACAAATTTTGAAATATCCCACTGTATAAAATGCTGAAAACACTGAGAAAGAAAAAAAGTCTAGTCACAAAATAGCTGCCTAATTTGGTTGAAAGCAAGGTTGAAAATGTGTTTTTTTTTTCTGTTCGTTAAAAGGCTCTCAGTATGTTGATGTTTTCACAATGTAAAAAGCTTGGCATATAGATTAAGATGCTTATATTTTGACAACAACATATAGACAAATCGGTTATAATTTAAACAACTAATTTTGGGTTCAATTAATGTCAAAACAGAAAAACACTTGCTAATATGGCACACAAATAGTGAGTCTGACCTGGTCTGTATGTTTGTAACACACAGTGCAACATCTGTGCAGAATGAGTCACATCTGCGCCTCAAAAAAACTGGCACAGCACCCTCAGTAAATCTATCCTCTGTGTATGAATCGTAAATAAACAATGTCTGTAGATGCTGGGCGCTCCAAGAAAAGTGACATCCTTAACCCCTGCCCTGTGTTGGGCATTTTGCATTTCCTTTTTCTTCTCATGTGGCTCTGTTTCAAATTTGCTTTTTCATTTTGTCTCTTGTTGTTTTTCTACAAAAATAAATGTATCATGATGTGGCTCTCTTGACCCTGTCTCCAAGAAAAAAAAGGGATCCCTTATCTCACTGGGGCTACATGGTTAAATAAAGGTTAAATTAAAACAAGACAAATATTGTTTTTCACCATCAAATAGCTTCCTACCACCTCGAAAACAGAGATCTGCATCATCCCTTGCCATCTGTCGTCCACATACCAAAAAGCCCCTATCACAATCATCCTCTCAGGATCAAATCAGAAACCGACTCAAGATGCAAACAGCGAAGGAGACAGTGGCTCCAGCAGCCTGTCAGCTCCGCTCACGTCTTTATCTTTTCTCTGTGTCTTTCTACAGAGAAAGACAAGTAGAAGAGGGCCATGCCTGTGGTGTACGGAAGAAGGAAACGTCCATTCTAATATCCTGTCTGGGGCATATACTCTCTCACGTCTATCAGTGGATCTGGCTGGATCTGGTGTAGGGAGGATGCAACCACACTGATATCTGATGTTCTCCTTGTTCTCTCTCTTTTTACATTCAACATGGCAAGGACATGCAGCAAATTACTAGGGAAAGGAGACACGTATCCTACGTGGTTTATGAGTGTGTGTGTGTGTGTGTGTGTGTGTGTGTGTGTGTGTGTGTGTAGAAATAAAGTCATAGAGAGTGTAAGAGTGTTAAATGAGAGTTTGGAAAATACAGAGTTATATATTTTTTTAAACCTCAAATGTTGTGTAATGTTAAAATGGTTACTGTAAATGTACACTAACCAGCTGCTGCACTTCCCCCTGTCACAATTCAAATAAACTTTTTTTGCAACATTACTGTAAAGCAAAAAGTGGTACATAACTAACCTTAAGCAAACTTAAATACATAATCCAACATATAGATATTATTTCAACCAGTGGCATAACACAACTTATTTAGATCTTATATGGACATATAGTTTCATCAAATATGATCTATTATGTGAAAAATCCTGAAATGGGGCAAAAACTCAATGTTTCTTGTTTTTAAAGAAATAAATCTCACAGGCAAAATCTTTTTTCGCAGTTTACCAAACAATCTGTCAGTGTAAACAGATGCATGCCTTTGACACTACTGACACATGAATTCAACACAGAATAACGCTGTTGTCTCAAGGTCTCAGCACACTGAATGATTAAAAAAAACATTATTTGCTTTGAGTCCTACTGTTGGCTCACAGTAGCAACCACTAAAGCAATATTGACTCAGAATACCAGTGAGCAACATTACGTCTGCCATTTGTATATCCATTTTAGACAAAAACTGACTGATATAGTAAAGAGTGTACAGTATTTTTTGTCCTTGCTTGAAACAATACAATTTACTTGAGTGCACAGAAGTATTTTATTTCAAGGATTATAGTTCATCAGTGCTGGCTGATGATCTCACAAGTAGTAAATTCACACATGCACAATGGGGGGAGATGGGAAAAAAATAAGTGTACAAAGACACCAGCAGTCACTGAAACAAACAACAAAGGAAGTGAGTAAAGGAAACAGAGGGAGAAAAAGAGACAAAACGACAGCTCCACATCTGCCAGAACCTCATTCATGGCACCTCTCCATCTTGCCTTGCATGACCTTCTCTTAAAGTACAGGCTGTGAGGTTTTTCCCAGTTTAAAAATAGTTCCTGCTAAATTCAACACTACACTGAATTATTTCGACAGAGAGGCATCTTTTTTCATTTTCTTTCCTGCTAACACTGGCACTTTTACCTCACCCTTCATTGCATATTGTACGGACGGAGTGCCAGAAATATGCCCAAAGGTGTGTACCAACCACCTAGCATGTTTACTCTCACCACGCTTGTGCGCTTCCAGAGTTTGTCTGTGGCTACACAGCGCTCCCATCGTGCAAAAGCAAGCTTCAGGGAGTACAAAGTTCTCTCTCTGAGATTTATTTTTCCACAAAAAATACACAATAAAGGGAACTAGCTGAATGCTCCGAGACAAGGTGTGAAATTATTATTTTCACACACCTTCTTCTCTTATCGAGTTCTAGCTTTGCTTGAAAAAAAATTGTGTCCAGCTGGAAACTGGTGACATTGTGTAAATATAGCCAGACATGACAGCAGGGTAGTAGTTACAGTTATAGTTGAGGAGTTAAGCTGTTTATTGTGCATAGCTGTTTTAGAAAAATAAAAGATGAACAGAAAGGAATCATTGTTTAATTTGTAGGAAAGAAAATAGAGAGGATACAACAGTCTAAGAATAAAGCAGCCTGTAATAGTTTAAGGAGTACTAAGATTATTTTATCTGGTTTTACCTATCGTTATGTATTATTATAAATTAATTTCTAAAAGTGAGCTTTTTTATCTGGTGAATAATTGACAATCTTTTGCAATAAAACTGATTTCGAAACAAAATGAATGTATATGAGAAACCAGCCTGTCAACACCTCATTAAGAATGTTTCTGTTTCAACATCTTTTTGGAACAAAGAAAAAAAGAATCTTGCAGAAATAATGATTGCAAAATGACTGCATCCTCCTTCCCCTGGAACGTGTCCTCCTTTTGCCTGACTTATTTCTGTGTGAGAAAACGCCATATGTTTAGCATTATCAAACCAGAGGGGGTGCTTTCACTAACATTATGGGTGCAACTTCTATTCAATAGGCACATACCTTAATGAATAAAATAACCCAGAATAACAGATAACAAACAGTTGGCATAGCAGCAACTGCTGCTACTGCACTATGGGAATCCTCGCACATGGAACAACAAACGAAGCCTAAATTACAACAACATGAATGTAATGAACCAGGTTTTTTGTTTGTGCATATGCTATCTGTACCCTGACAACAATAACAAAAGAACATTATATCTGCTTTTGGTTTTTGGTTTTATCCATTACTGTTATGTTATGTGAACTTAAGTGATAATCAGTTGAGGTACCAATCAGGTCTCATTATCTCCTCCTGTTTTTCATGTCTTGCTGTACTATAAGTTCTAAGCCAAGCCGCCAAAGGATGACAGTTGTCTCGGGTGAAGATTAATTTATTGTTACTTGTCAGTTTATTATAACATGGCGATTGTGACAAATTCTATTTTGGGCAAGTCTGTTTACACTGATTATAAAACACTGCATCTGAGTTTCCTCTGAAGGGAAAAATCAGAAAATACCATGCAAGTTCCCCCTTTGCCCGGGTGTTTGCCATTGATCTTGACACTATGTCTTTTGTGGGGATGGATGGTGGGGAAGGAGGTGGGTGAGAGACAAGGTTTCTGCTTGGGCCCCCAGTACAAAAACCAAAACAAAAAGAGAGCCCCAATCACCAGCTTGGGGTGCAAAGTGCAGCTGCCCTGCTAATGAGATTTTAAAATGGGCCATAATGCCCCCTTAAACGGCCCCTACATGGAGAATTATATGCTTCATGTGTTGATTTATTCAAAGGGGGTGGGGGATTCGGCATATGTGCATCTGTGTGTTTGTGTGTGTCTGTTATTAGACAACAATAGCCTGCAGCTAGGTCGACTGTCAGTAAGCTGTATGCTCATAGGACAACTGTCCTTCACCTTCCCAATCTGACAGACTGCACAATATGCACAATGAAAAAACATAATTTAAACTATATATCTATTTTACCTGATTTGAGAGACTGAATATATACAAGAGGGTATATTTCCAAAGGGTGGATATATCCATCTGTAATACAACACATTCAATTAAATACTAATCAAGACGTTAAACGGTGCTAAAATCAACATGAAATGCAAACATTCACTCACTCATGCGGAACATGCATATGATTGTACTCTATTCCCAATACTAGCAGATTCCCAAACCTCAGTTACTTGGTTCAGTGCTTTTGCAAGTGAGCCGCACACAGTGCTAATTGCCAAGATAATGTTTTAATATATCGACTACGTACTTACGGTGAAAAGAAGAAATCCAAGCTAGATTAAATGGATAAATGTTATTTGTACGAAGGAGGGGGGGAGTGGGAGAGAGACTGAGCCAGAATAAAAAGACAAAAAAAGACGTTTATCTCTTGATTGGGCTTCTTTGTTAACATGCTGAGAGGATGTGGTTATTTGGGGATTGAACAAGGACAGCCAGCTGAGACAGGAGTGATAGAGATAGAAAGAAAGAAAGAAAGAAAGAAAGAAAGAAAGAAAGAAAGAAAGAAAGAAAGAAAAAGATTGGTAGTGACAGAATTGGATATGAAGAGGCCTTTTTGTGTTGCACTTTGAGTGTGTGCGTGTGTGTGTGTGTGTGTGTTTGTGTGTGTGTGTGTGTGTGTGTGTGTGTGTGTGTACACATGTAAGTACCAGTGATAAGATCCACTTGCTCGCATTCAGAGGGGCGACCAGCTGTGAGGATGAGTACAAGCGAGTGCATTTGTGCATTAGTGTGTTTTTCTCTGCGAGAGTGTAAACGCATGCAGGGTCGTGTTTGTGGACGTGCAAGCCTGTGAGTGTGTGTTTCACGTAGTCTGTGGGTGAATCTCAATGCGTCAGTGTGTGCATCAGACAAGAAATGACTGTATCTGGCCACTGAAATGGGACTCTGTCAGAGTGTGTGTAGTGCGAGTGTGTTTGAGAGAGAGACAGAGACGGAGAGTTACGGGGCCTGTCTGAAGCCATCTTTTGTATGAGCTATGTATGCTCTTTGTGGGGGGAAATTGAAAAACATTAGCATGATAAAGGCTGGCTAGGGCTGCTTCGCTGATCATGTGACACATTACTGAAAAAGCGCACAGATAGAAAATGACAGCCAGCTCATTCACGCACACAGAAACCAATGGGTGTGCCAATAATATCTGGGAGAGGCAGCATTCATGGCATTCAGTGCACAAGCGGCATCAGTTCACCATAAATAAAAAGAACAACACTTGCTGCTTGTCATTTTTTTGGAAGGGGTGTTGTACATACACAAACTACTGTACTGTGTTCTTTTCTTTGATCTCTCTGGTCTTTCTGTAATTTGTGTGTGTGTGTGCATGCGTGCATTTGTGTGGTTTCAGTGTGTGTGTGTATGTTTGCATGTGTGTGTGTGTGGGAGCATGCAGGCATCTGTGGGCCTCTCTAATTGGAGAGTGCGGCTGGGCCAAGCTCTTGTTTTTAAGATCCCATTTCAAAGCCGGAGACATAGAGGGCTTATTTTTGGGCTGGGAACGTGTTGGTTTATCCACAAACCTTACTTGCTTGACGACTGACAAAACAGGTCGACGAGGATGCAGCAGGAGTGATTTGTAAGCTAGAATTGTGTTGTTAAATGGTGGGATTCAGACAAAGGCCATGCTCTCATGTGTCGCTGTGTGACTCCTTAAATGCTGACAGTAACTGATTTGGTGTGACGGTTGTGTGAGGCTTTATTTAATGAAGTGATGATTTGGGAGGGGGGTGTCACAAATTTCCAAACTGAGACCAACATCGCCCCCGTTTGGAAGGACAGCGAATTGCACGGACAGCTTATTAATGCCATCATGCATTCACAAATTAGGCCTGTTTTAAAATCAGGTCAACCGAGATGAGATCTGAACCGTAATTTGATGCAGCCTTCATATTGTTGTGTTGGGGGTTTGTGTTTTCACTGTAATTGCCCATCCATGCTCTGTGTGTAAATGTACATGGCTTGCCATTTTTATAACCAACATACCTACTGCACTGTCACCCTGCTTTGTTTCATTTGACATCAAAGCTTTTCATGTTGGTGCTAGTTTAGAAGCACAAAAGGATAATAACATCAGATGTCTCTGCATTCCTAAAAGAAAAACCTGCTATGCCAACAGTTTTTTACCTCTTCATAAGAGTGCGGGTGTTACCACAACAACCCATCATTTACATGTATTTTCT